AAAACATGGAAAGAGCCTAAGTGTCCATCAACGGACACATGGATCAAGAAGATGTGGTTTATCTATACCATGGAATACTACATGGCAATGAGAAAGAATGAAATCTGACCATGTGTAGCAACATGGATGGACCTTGAGGGTGTTATGCTGAGTGAAATAAGTCAGGCAGAGAAGGACAGATACCATATGTTTGCACGTATAGGAGGATTAGGAGGAACTTAATGGAGGACCGTGGGGAAGAAGAAGGGGGGAAATAGTGGGGGAGAGGGAGAGAGGCAAACCATGAGAGACTCTTGAATGCTGAGAACAAACTGAGGACTGGTGTGTGGGAGGGGGGAGGGGGGAGATGGGCATGGAGGAGGGCACTTGTGGGGATGAGCACTGGGTATTATATTGAAACCAACTTGACAATAAACTATTTGTAAAAAAAATAAAAGTAAAAAAAATTAAAAAAAAAACACAGCTGCAGTAAGAAGCACTGGATGCTCTTCTCTATAGTCAAGAGGTGCCCGGGGAGCTAAAGAAGTAAGTATTTTAATGGTAGAGCTCTGTCATAAGGCACTCCATCTTCCAACTTCACTGGAGTGAGTTCAAACTAAGACCTAGATTCTCACCAATTCCCTTAAGGTAGACGTTACTAGTCAATGTAGGTAATAATGAAGATAAGGGAAAAAAATTAGGTTTCTGGGGAAATCAATACTTACGGGAATATGAAAGTAAGATAAGTTTAGGAAGCTATACAAAAGGAGGTAGACCTAGTAGAAGACAATAAACAAGAATTTGAAATATTCATGGGTAGAAAAAAGAGGTTGAAAACATGAAGTAGAAACAAGCAGCTGTGAAGAAAATTGATTAGACATATTTCATGTAAGAAATATAGTTAGTGATATGATCTCAGTGGATAGGCTAAAATACTACCTAGTGAGCAGGAGGTTAGCTCAAAGAACATTCCCAGGGGGCATCACGAAGGAACAAATGATGAAGGAAATGGTAACAAATGTGGAACGAAACAGAATACATTCAGTATCTGCTCAATAGAAGTTCCAGGAAAAAAACAAAGAGGAGGAAGTATTTGAGCATATATATCAGAAATATATAAACTCAAATACATGATATTACTGTTTTCATCTCCTGAGATGACACCTCTCAGGACCCTAACTGGTCTGTAATTCCAGCTTTAATTGTTACTCTCCTGTCAGCCGGCTGCGAAGGGTCGCGCTGTGTTAACCACCCACACTAACATTGAAATGTTGCTCGTCAGGGTAGTTACCTCACTAAAAACACATTCACTCTGTTTGCTTTTAACAGATTACAATCTCTCTCCCTGAAATATCCACGCTGTGCCATAGCCCATGCCATAATGATCTTTTCCTACAAAGATCTAGCTATATATTACCAGAGAGTGCCAAGGAAGAAAATTCCCAGTTTCTACAAGGTCACTTCATATTTCTCATAATCCTATATTCAGAAGATAGCATCACAGCAAAAATTTTATAGCACTACATTTTAACAAGTTAGGCCACAACAGAAATTTAAAAGTTGTACTCACAACTCACACTGGACAAATCACCTTCTGGGCTCTGGGTGTCTCCTCACTAAGGACAGAGGTTGGATTACATGACCTTGAGGACTTTTGCTGTTCTTCATACTGCATAATGACTTTCCATGTCAACCTTGCCCTAATTCATCCATGCTAACAACGTACTTTAAAACTAATTATATTCCTTTTCATTTGTATTACTGTATTAGAGAAGACAAGAACAAAGATACATACCAAAAAAACCCTATAAATTTGATCATCACTATTAACATCATTTTATATTTCATCCCCTCTTTGCTTATGGAATTATATGACTGAAATCATATTTACATAAATTTGATGTTTCAGTTGTTTAATATTATAAAATGATAATCTGTACATTATTTAAATCTGTACACACTTCACTTAATATTCTATAACTATATATCATTATTTGCTTTTTTTTCTCTTAATCTCTTATATTTGATCATTATAATTGCCTCCACATTTATACTATTATAAAGGTCGCAGTGTTTACCATCCTGCATTCACATAAGTTGTTACGTTTATCTTTTTTCTTTTTACGGCCCCCTCGTCCCCTGCCTCACTGGGTGTGCGCTCCTGTTCCCTAAGCAGGAAGAGGCAGCAGGCAGACACTAAGGCCCACACCTGGGGTCCCAAGATGTCAATGGCTAAGGATGCCTGGGACTGGGACACCTCCCACCTGGGCTTCTAGCACCCCACGGGCTCCCTTTCCCTTCCACAGGGCTCAGACTTGCTGGACAGGACTGCCCTGAGGGCCAGGAGCAGAGGGCCACGCAGGCAGCCTGCACACAGACGGAGGGGCCCTGCAGGACCCAGAAGACCCTAGAACCAGCCAGGCCTTCAGACCCAGCCCCTCCCAAGGCCCCTGGCTCCCTGCCCCAGGCACACCCACGCATGGTGACAAGGCGGCAGATGTGTCTCCTGGTCCTGGTGATTAAGCCTCAGCTGATTAAGCATCTGACTTCAGCTCAAGTTATGATCTCACAGCTCCTGAGTTTGAGCCCCACCTTGGGCTCTGTGCTGACAGTGCAAGCTGGCTTGGGATTCTCTCTCTCTGTTCCTCCCTGACTCACGCTTTCTCATATTAACTCGTAATCCTCACATCAATCTACTGAAGTGGGTGTATCATTCTGCCCTCTTACAGAAGCAGAATCTGAGGCACACGGGAGAAAATAAATAATTTCCTCATGGCTTGATAGTAAGTGGCAGAGCTGGAGTTGTAATCCAGGTTCCAAAGGCGGAGAACCGCAGAAGCCCCCGGGGCCCAGGTGTGCCAGCACGGAGCACCTGGTCTTTCCAGGACAGTGCAAAGGACATCTTACTGTATTAATTCTTCATTAAAATGGTACCTGGCACCTTCATGGCATAGAAATACTTGGACTGCCTCCGTGTCGCTTTTGGGCAAAAGAGCATGCATGCAGCATTTCTGTTTAGAAGTAGTTTGCTCCGTCTATGATTCGAGAAGTCTAAGATCCATATGCCTACGTTCCCTTGTGTGGTGAACAGAGAATTCATAAGGATCACTAAATGCACCCTAGGTCTCGATGCAGACATTATTTCTGGGCAAATATAAACTGGTTTTTAAAAGTTATTTATGCTTTTAGCTTTCTTTGCTAATTTATCGTTTTTAGTCACCTGAAATTGCAAGTCACTTAAATAATAAACTACTCTCTGAAGGAAGTGACCATGAACTGCCATATAAAATGTTCCTATCGACCTCTTTAGTTTTCCTTGGTGTGGATGACGTGGTCGGTACGCAAGGGATGGTAAGCACTTATCTCAACATCGACCTAGCAGAGGAAATGCAGTCTCAGCTGGGCATAAGCAACACTCTACAGTATCATTTTTCTACTTAGGTTTAGTATTTAATTAGCCGAGTTTTCCTCCATATCGCCTATTTGTCTACTGAACCCTGCCAAAAACACTCTTTGGCAGATGGTGAAAGAATAAAATTGCTGGCTCTAAAATCCAAAATCTTAGAGATAATTAGAAGACTTGATACAGGTAACATTTATTAGTCATGAAAAGCTTGACAGCATGGTGAATTTTTCAACCCACACAATTTTGAGAGGGGTAAAAAGATCCTTGTTTTGAATGCCGATCAATTACGTTTCAGTGACAAGAAGTGAGAAATCTACTCACGAAACTTAGCTGGACAGCTTCTTTGTGCGAGCACAGCCTAAACAGAGAGAAGGAAAGAAAGTTGTTATAGGGGTGGATCTGCTTCTGAGCCACAACTTCACAGAAATATACTGAACAACTTTTTGAAAGTTTCCTCTGTTCTGGTTAAACAAATTACAAGTTTACTAGGTGGAAGTGAGCACCAAGAATAATCTTGGCAATCATTAAAGTAGCTGCAAATGAAACAAAATGTCTTCTAATTATCAGTGTTCCTTCCTTCTTAATATAAGCATCCTTCCTGGGTTGGGAAGGAACGTTCTGTAGAGGCATCTTCTGGTTGTAGAAGCTTAACATTTTAAGATTTTACCATTTAGCTATTTCACACCCACCATCCCATATATATGCTACAGTGGTAACCTTACCCATATTTCACCACAGTATAACTTGCAGAAATAGCAAATTCAAGCAATCCTGCTATTCGTAGTACAGAAGCGGGTTGGAGTGTCGGGGTGGCTCAGCTGGCTGAGCACCTAACTTCAGCTCAGGTCATGATCTCAGGGTCCAGGAGTTCATGGGTTCGAGCCCTGCATCAGGCTCTGTGCTGACAGCTCAGGACCTGGAGGCTGCTTCAGATTCTGTGTCTCCCTCTCTCTCTGCCCCTCCCAGCTTACACACACACTCTTGTCTCTCAAAAATAAATAAACATTTTAAAAAACTATAGGGGGGGAAGAAACACGGCAGAGAAGTAGGGGAACCCGAAGTTCCCTCATCCCTCAAACACAGCAGTATTGAGGCCAGAAGACAGGGACTTTCAGGAATCCAGGCTATGGAGTCACAGACACATCTGCAAGGACCCACGGGGACAACTTGGCTGGACATAGGTGCGTGACTGCGAATGGGGAGAGGGGATCCCTTTCTGTGCAGAGAAAAGAGAAAGGCAGAGTGTGGAAGTGTAGGACTGTATTTGGACAAGAGAAAAACCTCTCCGGAACACAGACCGGGGAACGAAAAAAAAAAAAAAAAAAGGAGCAAGAACCAGTTTCTAGGGGCGCCTGGGTGGCTTAGTCGGTTAAGCGCCCGACTTTCGCTAAGGTCATGATCTCGCGGTTCGTGGGTTCGAGCCCCGCGTCGGGCTCTGTGCTGACTGCCAGCTCAGAGCCTGGAGCCTGTTTCAGTCTGTGACTCCCTCTCTCTCCGACCCTCCCCTGCTCACGCTGTCTCTCTCTCTCTCTCTTAGAAATAAATAAAACATTTTTAAAAAATTAAAAAAAAACACACCAAAAAACCAGTTTCTAGCTTGCACGCGGCCCCGAGGGGGGTGACGGCCCAGGGCTGCAGGCTTTCTGCTGACCCGGCCTGGGGGCCCGTACACGCACCCGGGTGGAGGGGAGCCAGCCGGGCGCCGGCAGCGAGCCCGGAGGCGCAGTGTGAGAAGGCAGGCCCCTGGAGCGCGTGCGACGAAGGTACACAGCCTCCCATGGGCACAAGCCCCTGCTCGTGCGGCCTGCGTGCAGGGCGCCGGCGGAGCGGCCTATCCTTACCCCGGAAGTGGGGGCGCGCAGTGTAGGAGCCTCAAAGACATCCGGGTTCGAATCCCAGCGGAGCGCCACGGAGGCGCGGGAGACTGCGGGGCGGGACACACCGCCGCTACAGCCCGCGCAGCACCGTGAGGACGGCCTCAACAGAGTGGTCCGGCCACCGGGTCCGGGGAGGCAGTGCTCCCCCGACCAGCAGCAAGCGGGGGCTTCTGGGAAGGGGCCCGCGCCCGCAGCGGAAGCGGAACCCGCCCACACCACCAAGCCACGCCCCTCCGCGCCTGCCTCCTGCGGCTCTAGGGCATTGACTCTAAAGAGCCAGAAAGGCCGTCCTCTGGACCAGCGCGCCGCAGGTTGCGAAGCACCGTCAGATATGGGGCCAGTGGTTTTGCATTTTCTGATTTGATTCTTGTTCAAATCTTATCATACAGATATTTTTTCCTTTCTTTTCTTCCTCTTAGTTCTTCCCTTCTCTATTCTGGTTGTTGGTTTGTTTAAGCAGACATTGTTAATCAGTTCTTTTACACCTCTTCTGTATCTCCTTTTTATTTTCCTTTTCTCTCTCTCTCTGTCTCTGAATTAAGCCATATAGTTCCTGTGATTCTCTGCCTGCTCTATTTTCTTTATCTTTGGTTCAACTCCACCTCTCTCATTTTTCTGTATAGGATAAGGCTTCTTCCACCCACCCCCCACTTTTTAACTTTTTTCCAGGGTTACTTACATGAACAGATCAAAGCACACTTGGTGGAAGGTCCAAACCATCAGTAGGGAGAAAAAGCAACTAGAGTCACAACAATGGAGAGCACACAACACACTCGAAAAATACCTCCTGAAGGGCCAGGCCCTGAAGGGTGTAGGACACCTTTTTAGTATAGTAGTGCTTACAGCTGCAGGACACTTAACAAGCTATTAAAACATGCAAAGTACAGAAAACTACCCAAAATGATGAAGAAGAATTCTCCTCAAAAGAAATTCTATAAAGAAATTAGAGCTAGAGAATTTCTCAAAACAGATATAAACAATTATCTGATCAAGAATTTAGGATGATAGTCATAAGAATAATAGCTGTGCTTGAGAAAAGGAAAGAAGACCGCAGGAAATCTATTGCTGTAGAGATTAAGGAACTAAGAAATAGTCACGATAAATTAAGAAATGTTGTAAATGAGGTGCAGAATAAACTAGTGCACTGACAGCAAAGATGGAGTAAGTGGAGGGGAAAATAAATGAAAAGAAGATAAAATTATGGAAAATGATGAAGCCGAGAAAAAGACAGATAAGAAAATACTAGACGAGGGGAGAATTATATAACTAAGTGATTCAATAAAAAGTAATAAAATCTATATCATAGGAGCTCCAAAAGAAGATAGAGAGCAAGGGACAGAAGGTTTACTTGCACAAATTATAGCTGAGAACTTCCCTAATCTGGGAAATGAAGCAAACGTCCAAATTTAGGAGGCACACAGAACTCCCTTCAGATTCAACAGGAATAGGTCTTCACCACAGCATATCAGAGTGAAACTGGCAAAATGCAAAGATAAAGAAAGAATTCTGAAAACAACTAGGACAAACGAGCCTTCACTTACAAGGTAGACACATAAGGGTAGTAGCAGACCTGTCCACTGAAACTTGGCAGGCCAGAAAGGGAGTGGCAGGAAATATTCAATGTGCTGAACAGGAAAAATATGCAGCTAAGAATCCTTTATGCAGCAAGGGTACTGTTCAGAATAGAGGAGAGATAAAAAAGGCTTTCCCTGACAAACAAAAACTGAAGAAGTTCATGACCACTAAACCAGCCCTGCAAGTGATCCTAAGGGGGACTATGTGAGTGGAATGCTGCAAAGACTACAAAGGACCAGAGACATCACCACAAGCATGAAACCTACAGATAACATGATAATACAAATTCGTATCTTTCAGTAACAACTCTGAATGTAAATGGAATAAATGCCCAAATCAAAAGACATACAGTATCAGAATGGATTAAGAAAAAAATCCATCTGTGTGCTATTTGCAAGAGATTCATTTTAGACCTGAAGACACATTCAGATTGAAAGTTAGGGGATGGAAAACCATCTATCATGCTACTGGAAGTCAAAAGAAAGCTGGAGTAGCCATAGTTATATCAGGAAAACTAGATTTTAAACTAAAGACTGTAACAAGAGATGACGAAGGGCATTATATCATAATTACAGGGTCTATCCATCAAGAAGCACTAATGATTGTAAATGCCTATGCTCCCAACTGGGCATCACCCAAATACATAAATTAATTAGTTGCAAATGAGCAATCTTATTGATAAGAATACGGTAATTGAAAGGGACTTTAAAACTCCACTTACAGCAATGGACAGATCATCTAGGCAGAAAATTAATAAGGAAACAATGACCTTGAATGATACACTGGACCAGATGGACTTCACAGATTCAGTCAGAACTTTTCATCCAAAAGAAGCAGAATACACATTCTTTTTGAGTGCACATGGAACATTCTCCAGGATAGATCCACTGGGTCACAAAACAGCACTCAATAAATATAAAAGGATTGAGATCATATCATGGATATTTTTGGATCACAACACTATGAAACTTGAGATCAACCACAAGAAAACATTTGGAAAGCCTCCAAATGCATGGAGGTTAAAGAACATCCTAATAAACAATGAAGGGGTCAACCAAACAATTAAAGAAGAAATTTAAAAATATATGGAAGCAAATGAAAATGAAAACATGATAGTCCAAACCCTTTGGGATGCAGCAAAGGCAGTCCTAAGAGGAAAATACATTGCAATCCAGGTCTGTCTCAAGAAACAAGAAATACCCCAAACCTCACAGCTAAAGGAATAAGAAGCAGAGCAGCAGAGAAACCCCACCTGCAGAAGAAGAGAAATAATAAAAAGTAGCACAAAAATAAACAATACAGAATCCAAAAATACAGTAGACCAGATCAATGAATCTAAAAGCTGATTTTTTGAAAGAATAAACAAATTGATGTACCCCTAGCCAGACTTCTCAAAGAAAGAGAGGACCCAAATAGATAAAATCAAGAATGAAAGAGGAGAGATCACAACCAGCACCACAGAAATGCAACCAATTATTAAGAAACACTATGAAAAAGTATATGCCAACAAACTGAACAATCTAGAAGAAATGGGCAAATTCTTAGATACCCACACACTACCAAAACTCAAAGGGGAAGATATAGAAAATTTAAACTTCCCATAACCAGTGAAGAAATTGAATCAGTTATGAAAATCTACCAACAAATAAGAGTCCTGGGCCAGATGGCTTCCCAGGAGAATTCTACCAGACACTTAAAGCAGGGTTAGTACCTATTCTCAAGCTGTTCCAAAAAATAGAAATGGAAGGAGATCTTCTAGACTCATTCTATGAAGCCAGCATTACCTTGATTCTCAAACCAGAGACCCAACTAAAAAGGAAAATTACAGACCAATATCACTGATGAACATGGATGAAAAAATTCTCAACAAGATACTAGCAAATCGAATTCAGCAGTATATTGAAAGAATTATTCACTATGATCAAGTGGGATTCATTCCTGGGCTGCAGGGCTAGTTTAATATTTGCAAATCAATCAATGTGATACATCACATTAATAGAAGAAAGAAGAAGCATATGATCCTGTCAATAGATGCAGAAAAAGCATTTGACAAAATGCAGCATCCTTTTTTAATAAAAACCTTCAAGAAAGTTGAGATAGAAGGAACATACCTTAACATCATAAAAGCCATATATGAAAAGCGCATAGCTAATATCCTCCTCAATGGGGAAAACTGAGAGCTTTCCCCAAGATCAGGAACATGACAGAGATATTCACTCTCACCACTGTTGTTTAACATAGAGTTGGAAGTCCTAGCATCAGCAATCAGACAACAGAATAAAATAAAAGGCATCAAAATTGGCAAAGAATGTGTCAAACTTTCACTTTTCACAGATGACATGATATTGCACATGGAAAACCTGAAAGACTCCACCAAAAAGCTGCTAGAACTGTTACATGAATTCAGCAAAGTCGCAGGATACAAAATCAATGTACAGAAATTGGTTGCATTTCTATACACCAATAATGAAGCAACAGAAAGAGAAATCAAGGAATTGTTCCCATTTACAATTGCAACAAGAACCATAACATTCCTAGGAATAAACCTAACCAAAGATTTAAAATATCTGTATGTTGAAAAGTATAGAAAATTTATGAAGGAAATGGAAGAAGACACAAAGAAATGGAAAAACATTCCATGTTCATGGACTGGAAGAATAAATATTGTTAAAATGTCAATACTACCCAAAGCAATCTACACATTCAATGTAATCCCAATCAAAATTGCTCCTGCATTCTCCTCAGAGCTAGAACAAACAATCCTAAAATTTGTATGGAACCACAAAAGACCCCAAATAGCCAAAGTAATGTTGAAAAAGAAAACCAAAGCGGGAGGCATCACAATCCCAGATTTTAGTCTTTACTATAAAGCTGTAAACATTAAGACAGTATGGTATCGGCACAAAAACAGACACGTAGACCAATGGAATAGAATAGAGAGCCCAGAATTAGACCCACAAATGTATGGCTAACTAATCTTTGACAAAGCAGGAATGAGTATCCAGTGGAAAAAAGAGAGTCTCTGGCAAATGGTGCTGGGAGAACTGGACAACAACATGCAGAAAAATGAAACTAGACCACTTTCTCACACCATACACAAAAATAAACTCAAAATGGATGAAAGACCTAAATGTGAGACAGGAAACCATCAAAACCCTAGAGGAGAAAACAGGCAACAACCTCTTTGACCAGAGACACAGAAACTTCTTACTCAACATGTCTCCGAAGGCAAAGTAAATAAAAGCAAAAATGAACTATTGTAACCTCATCAAGATCAAAAGCTTCTGCACTGCAAAGGAAACAATCAATATAACTAAAAGGCAACCAATGGAATGGGAAAAGATATTTGCAAATGACACATTGGAAAAAAGATTAGTATCCAAAATCTATAAAGAACTTACCAAACTCAACATCCAAAAAACAAGCAAACAAACAAATAATCCAGTGAAGAAATGGGCAGAAGACATGAGTAGACACTTCTCCAAAGATGACATCCAGATGGCCAAAAGACACATGAAAAGATGCTCACCATCGCTCATCATCAGGGAAATACAAATCAAAATCACCTTGAGATACACCT